AGGCATCTCTAAGAAAGTGAGAAAGTGGAGGGTGTTTTTTCTTAAAAATCCCTGAGGAAGCTTCCCGAGGATTAGTCGCTAAGTATCAACCGGAGACACCTCCAGTCATCGAAAAACAAAAAGGGATAGGAGGAAGAAAAGAAGAAAGATACTAGAACTCACCCGAATGTCTAACGGAGGATTTTCTGGAAAACTTTAAAACGACTCCTTCCAGAAGGTTCAGAAGCAACGATGGGTCTGTTGGCCTTAGGACTTTAAGGAAGAACGGGCAGTTGACGATGGAAGAGGAAAGAGATCTCCGGCAAAAATTCAGGAAAAGGCTCTCTTAAGGAAGTTTGGAATGGCGAAACAAGAAAATGGAAGAGGAGCCCCATTTATATAGGGGTTGTTTCATCATTGGGCGCGAAAAACGAAACGGCGCATTTAATGCACACGACATCCCAAGCCGGGGAAAGCGGCTCGAGGCAATGATGAAGAATTGGTGGTTGTTGAAAAACCCTTCGTCTCCTTACGACGCGTGCCCTCGGTGTCAGAAGATCGAAGGCTGGGGGGCAGTTGATGGGACTTTTCTGAAATACTCCATGATGAAGACACGTGTCCTCGGTATTTACCAAAACACTGTTGCTAAGATCAAGCACCATCGGCGCATAAAGGTCCTCGCCCCCGAGGTACTCGTCATATAGGATCATGGCATTCAGTACGTTTTACAACCAACACGTAGCCTCGGTCTGATATGGTACCTCGGTCGGTATCCCTCCCTCGGTTCCGAGATGAGCCTTTCCTCGGTGCCGAGGTGTACCCCGTCCTGGACGCCTCCTCTACTCCAGGATAAGCTATTGACGTACAGGTCATTAGCCTAGGCTATTCATCATGACCTCGTCTTACACAATTAGTGTCAGAACGTACTGGAATGCAGTGGCCACAGCCAATGGGGGATGGACGCGTGGCATATAATATCACATCGAAGACAGAGAAACCGCATGCCGTTGCTGACACGCGACTTGGGAAAGCAAACGATTAATTACACCATTCCCTTGATGAGACCGCATTCAATGCGGTAAGGCTCGGAAATGAAAGACAATAAATGCTCCTAATACAGAGCATTTATTGCATCCTCCCCGAGAGGAGTACATTGTACCGTCGGCATCCCGATGACCCAGCATTGATTGCTCGGGACCCCGAGCAGTTAAGAAGAGAAGACATTCCTCATCAGAATCAGTGCACACACTGCCTGTACCTAATGATCACCTACTGACCACACTGACAGCAATCATGAACTTTTGAGGTATAAATACTCCTTGCAAAAGGCAAGACGGGTATGCAACAAAAAACTCTTTATTACAATACTCACACAGTGTTTTCTCCTTCCTCTCTCTTTCTCAAAGACTGACTAGATCGTCGGAGGGGATACGCCGGAAAACACTCCGGCGCCCTTCTAACTTGTTCTTCTTTGTTGCAGGAACCTCTTTCAGCCTTACTGGATCGTTCTTCCGCTCCCCCAGGGTCTCCCGTTGCCGTTCCAGGTCACCACCGGACCTCGCAGGCTGTTCCAAGCAGCGTGGTTGGTCACTCAACTGACTCACTCGAGTTCACCAAGGGAGAGATATGTTCTCGTTTTTTATATTGTGCAGGATCTTGTACACACAATTACAATACAACATAGCACGGTGGACAACATAGTTACATAATGGAAATACTATTGCTAGCCTCATTTTCATCTGTCTTTCTCTATGCGTATAATGGTTGTAACATCGCCAGATTTTATCTGGAAGTAGTCTCCCATACCAAGATGTGCCTCGAGAAGCCACACAAAAGTGAGAAGCTCTCCTCCAACACTCAGCAGCTTGGCATGGTAATCACCTCTGCAATTACGTGCTACAAAACGGAGCATCTCTATCCACACGTCGCACATTGTCTTCCACATCCTCTCTTCACCCAATTCTATAAGTTCTTTGGCTAGTTCAACTGCATCCCACAACACAGACTTGCTGTTATCCCCCTTGACTCTCTTGGGTGATAAATCTGTATGCATGAATAACAGATTCTTACTGGCAATATCGGGTTCTTCTCCTATCAGTTCGTCTTCCTTGAAAATTTGAATGAGCTCGGCACATGTATCTCTGTATCGTATAAGCCCTATTACCGCTGCTGAAGAGAGTGTCAAGGGGTGTGCCACCAGAAGATATATCATGTAGCAGGATATGAGCTTACTGGCCTTGCGATACCCTTGGTGCCCAGAATTCCTAGTTTCTTGACAGTGGTGGTAGCATATATCTGTGGCTACATGCCATAGAAGTAAACACTCGTCGAATTCCAGTTCACTGATCCACTTCAGTTCAGGACAACTCCTGTCAAGAAATGATATTTTGCCTCTCCAATCAGTGCGGTTCCTATTCTTTTCAGCATCCTCACTGATTTGTGCCTTTCCCTTCAGATTTTCCCAAATAAGCTCTTCTAGTGTTGTGGGAATTTTCTCACATTTTGTGTACTTATACTTGTCGAAATATTCCTTGGCTTTTAGACGAGCAAGGAGTTTTTGGAAACAAGTTTGGTGATCATGCAAGCAATAGCTCAACAGGCTGACCTGCTTCATGGAATGAGACCAGCGGTATCTTTTAGCCTCCCCGGATTTTGCGTTTCGTGAACTTTGTCCTCTGGACAAACAGAGAAAAGTTTTTCTCACAAGGGAAAGGATCCAAGGGATGACTTGTTCTAGGCAGTTCTGATTCAACCACAAGGTGTTCGACAGAACAACAGTCCAATCTGAGACGATGAACACCAGCAACGACGCAATTTCCAAACCCAGAGTACCTACAAGTAGCAGGTATGTGATGAAAACATCTCTGTCGTGGAAACCATGTTTTTCTGTGAGAGCGAAAAGAATGCAAGCTGCAGGGACTAAAACTATATTAACAACCCGAATGATGCGACCAGGAGGACTATGAGCCACGAATGCTTTCGTGTACAGGGCATCATAGGCAAAATTCAGCTCGATCTCAACCATTTCAAATGCTGCTGAAGCGTCTTTGCCATTGAAAATGGACAGGCTGTTGGCTCGGTCTTCAAACGTGAGTATGAGATCGACAAAGAGACGCCTAAAAGTCATAAATAAATAATAAGCATTCTTCAATGTTTGTACCTCAGGCTTCTCAGGCTTGGTGTTGTTGTCTACTGCTGTTGTGGATGATTCTAGGTGTTCCAATTGCCTGTGTGCTAGAATACCTGCGTTGATTGTGAATGAGTATGTCTCCACAATGTCCACGTAGCTCGGCCCGGCGTTTCCATCATTCATCATAGATTTTCTAAGGCCATCCATGCTTGCACGATACAGTGCCCAGATTCTCTCTACGTACTTCAGAAATCCCGCCGTGGAAATACAGACAATAGCCAAAAATATGAAAAGACTAAAGCTTGTCCTCCATAATGCCCTGAAAAGGATATAAACCACAATTCCTAGTTGAGTGACCAGAGTGAGAACTTGGCGTAACCACAGCTGGTTATCGTCCAGCGAAAAGGCGGTGATGGTGTCTGGGCCGCCCAAGTGGAGGACGAGGATGGTTGTCCAGAAGGATACTAATTCACGGTTGTGGGGGAGAAAAGGGTCTGTTATACTTCTTGAGACGATGCTGATAGCATATGTGGCCACCTTGTCTGCAGCAGTGTATAAAATCCAAAGAAAAACAGTAACCGAATTTGAAGAATTACGTTTTCTGATGTTTCCTGGGAGAATTTGAAAGACTTGTATGAGAAGACTACCGAGAAAAGAGCCTCTCAGTTGCCACTCGCTCAAGAACCCCTTGAATGAGACCATGATAGTCGGTGAGAATGGCGGCGCGAGTTTAGAAAGGTCGCAGGCAGAAGTTGTTGAAGAGGAGTACGAACAAAGAGGAGCGTAAGGCTGAGAACTGAGAAGACAGGCAAGGATGCGGATCAACTTTAGGACACCAAACCTGAATTAAAAGAGTAATGCAAGATGAAGAAAAAAAATTAGATTTAAAAATTAGATACGATAATTTTAATCATTAAATAGATAATGAGTTTCAATAAATATTGAGACCTACAGTGAAATTAATTGTTGAAATTATCAAGTCTAATTTTTAAAATCTATTTTTTAAGTCCATGTAACATTGTTAGAATTAAAATTAAGAAAAACAGTATTAATGAATACCGAAATCAACTGTGAATTTAATGAATACCGAAATCTAGAAAAGAAAGAGAAGGATGCATGTAGAAAAAGGAAAATGTTATTTGAACTTAAAAATTTGACATAATTTATTAACTTAATGACGTAATTTTATTGAAACCATTGGATAAATACCAAATTTCAATATTTGATGGAGTCCATAATTAATCCGAATGTTATAGTAAATTAGGTACTAATATCATTACTCGTTAAAAAAACCAAAAAAGTAATTCCCACCCCTAATAAAAATTAGGGGAATTTGGAGGTTGATCTCCTTTTGCGGAGTTATTTAGTGACAAGTCTATTAAGAAAACTTATTTAATATTAAGTCTATTTTGATTTCTATTGTCCAAAATATTCTTTGTAGTCATGTTTAATTAAAATAAATTTAAAAACTAATTAGAAGTTTAACTAACATTAAAATCTCTCTCTTATATCTATCTATATCTATATATAGAATAGAATTATATATATATATATATATATATACACACACACACACACATACATATAATATTAGTAATATTTAAACACAAAAAAGTAGTAACATTTAAACATAAAAAAATAATAATAATTAAAAATAAAAAAATAATAACATTGAGTATTAATATTTAAAAAAATATCGTAGTAATATGCTCAATAAAAACAGTAATATAAATAGTAATATGTCTAACAAAAATAATAATATAAACAATAACATGTTAAAAAAAATTATATATATATAGAGAGAGAGAGAGAGATAGATAAAAAAGATGATTCTGGTGGAAATGGTCTGTTGGTTCCACCAAAGAGTCTTCTCAAATAAAGTTATGAAGGTTATCAAAGATTTGGTGAATGATGCCAACTTCGACTGCTCAGCTACTTGATTTTCTTTGCAGGCCATGGACTCATGCCATGTGGCACTGGTGACTCTATTGCTTAGATTGAAAGGATTTGAACATTATCGCTATGATCGTAACATTTCGATTTAGGGTGAATTTGAATAATATGATTGCTGGCCAGTGGCATGAGGAAGAAGATTCCATCTAAGTTTTCTATTGGCAAGAGCAAGAAAATGGACTGGAGAATTTGAATTTTAAATTTTATGAAAAAATCTTATAAGCTTGAAATAAAGATAGAATTAAAGAGTAAATAATCTGAGCGTTTCCTAATTTGGAAACAAAATTAACCTTTAATATTATTGATATTTTGAAATTTTTAAAAAATTGTAGACTTAATTACTTATTAGTAAGATAAAAAAATAGACTTATAATTAAATAAGTTTTCTTGACGGACTCAAATAAATTGAATAATTATAAATCTCTTAAGAAGGACTCAATTCTAATTTTTAGTAAAAATTAATATGTTATTCGGACATAATTTACAAATATAATTTAAAAACTTAATATATTATAACTATTTAATTAATAATAGACTTCATTTAATACTAATTATGTCCTCTTTTTTCTGTCCGGTAATACTTAGTTTTACTTTTAGCTTACTTTATGCCCTCTTTTTCTGCACTTCCTTATTTCCAAGCCAAAAAAAAGGTTTTTTTTTTAAAAGGCACATAATTTACTGATTTAATTTATTATAATTTTTGAATTGACTATGGATCCTATTTAACATTGAAACTTTGTGTTAATCCAATAGTTCCAATAAAATCACATTATTAAGTCAATAAATTATGTTAAATTTTTAGGTCAAAATAATATTACTCTTTTCAAAATCTATCATTCTATCGTGGAGAGCGGGTTTGTCGACTGTAATGGCATGACATAGGATTTTTTTTTCATACATTTCCAAAAAAATAATTTATAAGCATTGCTCTCGATGATCTGAGGGATATGATTTGATTATTTTCCTGGATCATAGACTCAAATGGTATTTTATGTTACCATTAGTAACATAAACAAATTTTCAATAAATTCAAATCAAATCCCAAAAAAAATTAAACTTAATTGAATATGTATCTAACAAATTTTATTTAAATATTAGACTTAATTAAACCTCTATAAAATAGAGCCCTAATAATTTAAGGTTTTAAAGTAGGGCCTTCACTGACTATTTTACTTTTGTGTGCACATCGATTAATCAATCACTTTTGTCTGCACATCTCGAGAGAGACAGAGATCGTAGTATTTTACTTTTAATGGACCACCGACGAAAGAAGAAAAAAAAAATCCAACTTTTTGAGGATAAGCATCCTTCCTGTAGTTTTTTTCTCCATATGTTCCTGAAAAAATATCTCCTGATGGTACCAGCAGGAATTGAAGACTAAGGATAAGATATTGATTTAACCTCACAGGCTCTGATTTGAAACAGGCCATGGGCGATATTTTGTTGGCTTTATTCAACAAAATTGATTGGTCATGATCAGTTTTATCTATATATTTAAGGAACGAAGACCTTCATAGTTTCTGGTTGACAAATAACCCAATGTGAATCATGATTTTGAATATAAAAATCAATGTCACATCACATATTCAAATTCATTAGTTGGACATTGGTCTCATATAAC